TATATATATATATATATATATATATATATATATATATATATATAATAACAAACATGCACTGTCTGCATTTTCTACCATGATTTTTCTTTGTATGGTATAATGGAAAACGGTAACGAATCTGTACACCCTTTAATCCTCGTATCTTCTGATATCGACTGTTAAATATTACGCAGACTGCCTTTTCTCCATCGTTCAATGTATCATTTTCGTACGTGTATGTGTAAACTGACGGAATAAAGCTATTTTGAGCAGTTGTTCAAGCTTTTTATTAAAATTTCTTTATATTTATATATTTAAAAATACATATGCACAAACAATGAAGATTGAAATACTGCAGATACCGTATTTCAACATCGCAATTTATTTATTGACGAACCGAATTGAATTTGACGTAAAAAGAAAGTAAAAACTCGAAGAAAGTACATACTTTGATTATTTTAAAAGTGGTAACGAGTTCGTGATTAACAAAACTTATTGTAACGTCTGGCGGGTGTCACGTATGAGTGTATTGAATGCGGACGCGTCCCTATAGACCGAAGATATCTACATCCTTGCCCGTTGATAGTCGTCTCTGTCGTGCTCGTACCGCGGGGCCGGTCGAAACCACGACGACTGCCTCCACGTGCTGCGAAAAGCACTTACTCGCCCTAAATTGTAGGTCGCCGCCGTCGTCGCAACGGTGGGGGCAACCAAAGTGGAGGGGCAGGGTCGAGCGAAGCACTTCGGTCATGATCGATGATTTCCGTCGCCGTTCGGTATGGCCAGGCGGTAAACATTACACAGTACGATTGGCCGTGTCCTGAGGGTCCTTTGGTTTCGTTTTCGAGTTCGAGTTTTTCGTTGGCATTCAGTTGGTGAGAAGTGACAAACGGAACGTGATATGTATTAAAAGAAAAGAGGAAAAAAAAAAAAAAATTAAAGAAAGAACTCGTAATTCGTGTTTCTGTTCCGATCTTCCGCGTTATTTTGTTCATTCGTTGTTCTCCAAAGGATAATGAGCTGGAACCTAGGATTCCTTGGCTGTGGAAGGGTTTAACGAGAACCTCACAGGTGGGAGATTTTTGACGTTTCTACATCATATATCGTACGAGAAACGACAAATTTATAGCAGAGATTTTTGGTGTTGTTGATTTTCAAAGACTATCAAAAATGGTGGGTGAACGTAGTTTGATTTTCCATTTCAATCAGTTGAATTAACGCATGTACAGAAATTTTGTAAAAATTGGAAAATCAGTGACAATGTTTCAGAAAGTGATAATTTGATTTCTCCAACCTATTTGGAATTTTTTTTTTTTTTTTTTTTCTATCGACAAATTAAGGTTTCGAAGATTTATCGCAAAGTTAAAAAATAGGTTTTCAAAAGTCTTTAAAGAAAAGAGAGAGAGAAAAAAAGAAGAAAAATTAGAAATTACGAAGAAAAAGGAAGAAAAAATGCGAGATATCGCTAACACTGAAATCGATAGTTTTTTCCTTGGCCGCGAACTTTGGTCGCGCTACTAGCGTCATTTCTCGTGATCAGTCGCACTTTCCGTATCCTGAAAGTATCGGAAAATTGAGAGGAAAGGAACGAGAGACTGAGTTAGCGAAAGACGGTGGGATGTCTACGTGAAAAAAGGAAGAAAATTCGCGATAGATTTGCTTAGGAGAGACGACGCGTGGCTACGGTCCGTGATGTAACTCAACGTCCTTACTACGCGCCGAGTTGCACGAGGTCGGTGATCGCTATAAAAAAATGCGACGGGTACACGTGGAGGCAGCGGTAGGCGGTTTCTGCCGCGACACAGCGCGGTATTGCACCACCGCCGACCGCGACGACTGCCTCACTGAGAGCCGCGCGTGCAGGTTTAACCCAGCCTTAACCTATTCTGAACCGACGATCTCTCTCATATACGTACGACGTATGCGAACAACGCCCGATTACTTTAATAATAATAAGTTTTATATTAAATTGGAAATTTAGATTTCAAGAAAGATGTTTCAAGTATAAACTATTACGTTTGTAATTAATATGCACTGAGACCAATCGAGGTTTTTCTTGTTTTGCTTTGAAGTATTTCCCACGGCATTGATGGAAAGAGTCTTCTTACAGGATTTTAATCGAGAAGACGGATTTATTGTTGTAATCGAAGAATTAACAAGTAGCAAATAAATTTTTCATTCTAAAAATAAGCAGCAAATATAGACGTAGATAGTTCAATTTTATTAACGTAACGTGCACGAGTTTAAACGATAATTATTTTCTTCTTTAACTATTACGCCTATTACGCTGGATACAATTCAAATAAAATTAACAAGGTGAATTCTGTATCGAGCCGTGACTACATAAAAATCGTAACTACAAAAAGATGAAAATAATCTCACAAATTATCTTCGTAATTCATTAGTAAATCACAGGTACAGAATCCTTCGTGTTTTGTTTTTTTAAACGCGTAAGATGCTCTTTGTATCGAAACAACTATATTTTCAAAAATTAATTAAATAAATTGATAGAGAAGGATCTTTCTTCGTAGACGATTAAATTAATATCGTTGCTTTTTATCGTTTTCTTTTTTTTCCAAAAAAGAAAGGGAAGAAAAGCAAAGGCACACGAGTTCGTCATAGGCCCGGTACAATTGGGGACGGGCCAAAGTTGTAAAATGCGTGTATTACCTACGTACGTACGTGATGCGTGCGCGTGCGCGTGCGTGTACACAAGGGGCGTTGCACGATATGTGGGCGGTTTTTTTTTCTTTTTGGATTTGAAAAGGGGCGATTGGTGGGGAGGAGTAGAGCAGTGTTACCCTAATGTTTCGGAGCAGCGCGTTTCAAATCGAAGCATTTACACACTCGCACGCAGTTCACGCGTAGAGGACGACGTTCCTACTGTTTTCTTCCTATTTATCTCATGAAAATAGTCGTCTACAGTACAAATAAACGTTTTATTGTTGTTGTTGTTGTTGTTGTCTTGCTGTTGCAGATAGATCGATTTGACGATACATTTCATTTTATCCTCCTTTTAAATAGATTTGATGATTGTAATTAATTCAAATATATATTTTTGTACGATAAAAGTTTATCATGTCGATCGATCGATTGAATTTTATTTTATTTATTTTAAATCGTTGGAAGCTTTTTAATATATTTCTTACGCAGAACCGACCTTTCGAATCGTCTTTACGATATATTTTATAAATTTTACAATTTATTTAAAATTTTACAAGAAATACACACACACACACACACACACACACACACACACACATCGATCGTTTCTCAATTTCATTGTCCCGATTCAACTCGTCGAAATACGAACATTTACAAAAATATGACGTCGCGACTCTGTATCGTGATTCATTCGCGTCATAAACGTACGACGGCATTTTTAATAAACTTTATTCGTCGATTAGCAATTAACGTTGCATCGCTAACTTTATAATACAGTTTCACTCGCAAAACTGTCGTGGATTATTATTCATGGCGGTTCTGAGGAAACTGTCTGTTCGAACATGACTGGATCGTTTCGAAAAAAAGAAAAGAAAAAAAAGAAAAGACTCTAATGATGGTTATTATTTCTTGCGTTCTCAGATTAATGCGTCTGCGGCGGAGAATGGTGGGTTACTATCAAACGACGAAGCAGGTGACAAATTTGAGAACGATGTGCTCAGTGAGCAACAACAACCATCAGGAGGTAGTACCGTCAAGCGTGGAGCCGCTGAATCCGGTGAAAAGTCTGGTGTGCAGTCCGGATTTGAGCGTGTTCACGCCGGCATGCAGCGGCGAGGCTCTGTCGGCAAACGCTGCCGAGGAGAAGACGTACCAGTGCTTGCTGTGTCAGAAAGTTTTCGACCAGAAGAGCTTGTATCAGACTCATTTGCGTTCGCACGGTAAAGAAGGCGAGGATCCTTACCGATGCAACATTTGCGGGAAAACTTTCGCGGTACCTGCGCGGCTCACCAGACATTATCGTACGCACACGGGTGAAAAGCCGTACCAGTGCGAATATTGTAGCAAATCGTTCTCCGTAAAGGAGAATTTGAGTGTACATCGTCGTATACATACGAAAGAACGGCCTTACAAGTGTGACGTGTGCGAACGTGCGTTCGAACATAGTGGGAAGCTGCATCGGCATATGCGGATACACACGGGGGAACGGCCGCACAAGTGTACAGTCTGCTCGAAAACGTTCATCCAGAGCGGACAGTTGGTAATACATATGCGCACACACACCGGGGAGAAACCGTACGTGTGCAAGGCCTGCGGCAAGGGATTCACTTGTTCCAAGCAACTGAAGGTGCATACGCGTACGCACACCGGGGAAAAACCTTACACTTGCGACATCTGCGGCAAATCTTTCGGTTACAATCATGTTCTCAAATTGCATCAGGTTCGTTTTCTACTACTTTTCCCCTTGCAAAGTAGTATATACGATGCTAAATATATATCATGCCTAAATAAAATTTCGTATACTTTTGTGTAATTTCGGTTGCGTTACTTATATACAGAGAACTTTTTATATAGAGAAAGAAAATTTAGTTTGAAACATGCATTCTCTCAACATACAAATATAAACTGTACGTAACGTGAGAAGACGGTCGTTTCTCAGACCGTTCTTAAATTCTTACTAAACGTAAGCGTCTGAAATCAGAAAAGCATTAATTTCAATTTCAATTAGCTCGTATCGGTTCGTCGTACATGTATTCTTATTAGGTAAAATGGATCGATCGATAAATCAACTCGCGATAATAATAAAAAATGTGTGTTCCAGGTTGCCCACTACGGTGAGAAAGTTTACAAGTGTACATTGTGTCACGAGACATTCGGCTCGAAGAAGACAATGGAGCTGCATATTAAAACTCATTCGGACTCGTCGGTGGCTGGCTCTCCTAGGGACTCGCCAATCGAGCCAGAGATTGAGATCTCGCAGCAGACAAACAGTAGTGTAGGCACTGCCAGTGATAAAGAGAACCACAAGACTGAAGAGCCAAGTAACGATGCTGCTGTTGCTGTTGTTGCTGCTGTTGCTGCTACTACCGCTTACGATGACACTGCGCGAGATTTCCCCTACTACATGTATTCCCGAGAGCAGTATTCACAACCACTGTTGATGCCTAGCGAAGACAAAGTTGTTTTCCAAACAACATCCGCAGTCTCTGTTGAACAGCCTCCTCATTCGTTTCGGTATCAACCTGAAGTTTCTTCTTCTTCTTCCTCTTCTTC